GAATGGATGGATGAGAAGCAGTGTAGAACGTAACTTGTCGATACTCATGGTTAAAAAAGAGCAGCAGTGTTAAAGGGCGGATCGAAATCAGGGAGAGGATGAAGCAATGCAGCGCGTTCGAACTTGCAATACATAACCACGAGATCTTACTATCTCACATTTCAGAATTTTACTATTGCACACGAGCACAGCATGAATCAGTATAGCAAGAGGCATTAGAGAAGTATCACCCCCGCCCAGCTCGGCACAGCACATAAGACAACGGCTCAATGTCAGGGTTCTCGTTTTAAAGGAGGAGGTGGAGGGAAGAAAGTGGCCTGCACGGCTTACTGTAACCACGGCTTACTGTCACCACGGTTTACTATCACGACGGCTTACTGTCAGCGTCCACGACGGGAGCAGCGCGTGCGAGGGGCATGCAGCAGCGCGCCACCACCAGCGCCACCATCATGACGCCGCCGCGCCTAGCCATCGCCGCGGAGCAACGCCGCCCCATCGATGCTCTCCGCGCGCGCTGCCCGTGTTCTTGTTTCACCGCGGTGCTATTACGTCTGCGGTTTGCTCGTGTGCCGTTGCGGCGTGCGCGCGTTGCAGGCAGGCGATCGAGACTCGTGAGTAAAACAGAGAAAATTCTACTGTTGCTGGAGAAGTCGAGTCGACTCCTGCTGCTATCAAATGGCGACTGTAACGTGGAATTCTAATCTCGTGCATCTGATTCTCGTCGTTGTCCTCGTCTGTCACGAAACACAAACGCAAGGAAAGAGCAGTGCGATGGAGAGATGATGCACAGAACCAGCTAGTGCAATCGTGCTGGGTGGTGAGGTGCTGGGTTGCGCCATGAAAACTTAGTGAAGATCAAAAGCTCGCCCACGTCAATCGCCTCTTTCACCAAACGACGCCCCAAAGATGCGCAAAACGCTCTGGACCGCATACCAGCGTCGGTGTTGTTTGATCAAAGGCGCCATGAAATTGAAGACTCAGGCTGACCAGTGGTTGGTGGGGAGGTGGGGCAATGCCCGATGGTGCAAAGATTAACGCGTTACAGTAAGACTTCCCAAATCACCCAATAGAATTTGAGGTGCGAATCTGTATGCTACTTGTGCAATTGAATGATTGTGTAAAGATTGCATTCAGGATGATAATTGCAACAGGCGATTCAAAATGTCCATGTGGCTGGCTGGCACAGAATTTTGGGAGAAAAAACAAAACTAAATAAAAACGAGCAAACGAGCAAACGAGGAACTGGGTTTTGTTGCAGACTATCAACGCATATGTAGTGCATCACAACTGTTGAAGTTTGAGGAAAAACATTCACAAAAGCTGAATCCCCGATTTTTAAACGGAATGTTTTACTGTATCGCGTTATTCTCTGCACCGTCACACCTTCCCAAACCCCCATACCAACCACTGGTCAGCCTGAGTCTTCAATTTCACGGTGGCTTTGATTCAAACAACGCCGATGCTGCTATGCGGTGTAGACCGCTTTGCGCATCTTCGGAGCGTTTTCGTGGTTTGTAAAACGGCGTAGTTTGGCGAAAGAAGCCATTGACGTGGGCGAGCTTCACCAAGTTTCCATGGCGCAACCCAGCACCACCACACCAACCAACCTTCCCATTCCCTTGGTTTCACGCAGCGCCATGGCACAAGCTGTCCGATTGCACCCATCACACTCCACTTTCCTTGCGTCAGTGTTTCGCAAGACTCTCGTCGTGAAAGAGGAAGACAAAGGCGAGAACAGGGTACTATCTTTTAGCATTTCGCGTGTAGCACACGTGTTTCGTAGAATCTCGCGTTACAGTCGCCACCGATAGTAGTACTACATGCAGCAGAACGGCTTAGTATTCTGTTCTGCTCACGAAGCTCAATCTCCCGCCCTGCAACGCGCTCACGCAACGGCTCTTGAGCACGCAATTTAGCAACGAGCTGTCCACCGTAGTACGAGTCACGCGCGTTCGCGGTACGTCACGCAAGGCGTCACACGGGCAACACGCGCGCGGAGACCGTCGATGGGGGGCTGCGCCGCGGCGATGGGGAGGCGCGGCGACGTGCTGATGGCGGCGAGAGCGGCGGTGGTGGCGCTGGTGGTGGCGCGCTGCTGCATGCCCCTCGCACGCGCTGCTCCCGTGGTGGACGCCGAGAGTAAGCCGTTAAGCCGAGAGTAAGCCGTTCAGCCGAGAGTAAGCCGTTAAGCCGAGAGTAAGCCGTTAAGCCGAGAGTAAGCCGTTAAGCCGAGAGTAAGCCGTTCAGCCGAGAGTAAGCCGTTAAGCCGAGAGTAAGCCGTTCTTTCTCGACCTCCTCCTCATCACAGACTGAGAGAGAGTTAGCCGTGATGCACGCCGACAGTAAGCCGTGCTTCACCCTATTTATTCCCTCCACATCCTCCTGTTGACAGTCACAGATCTGTAACAATAAGCGGCTGTGCCATGTGCCATACCGCCCCAGGACCATAACCCTATTCAGCATGCAGCATGAACTCCGCACCAGCAACTACTTATCTCTGCTGCTTGCAGCTGTCCCTCCTGCCACCCCCACCTCAATTATCCCTCTACCCTCTCGCTGTTCCTCTCGCCTCTCCCTTTCTGTGGGAATGCTCCCATCCCAACACGTTCTGTGGCACGGCATGCTGCATTGCCGGGGGGTGTATGGCACGGACGAATGGCGTAATGGATGGCAGTTGAAGCTTTGGAGAGTCTGGCACAAGAATGGAAAGAGGCCGCGGGTACGAGCACGTGGAGCAGGGGCAGGGATTGCGACAGCATGGATTTCTTGAAGTGTGATGGCGATGGGCATGTCATTGCACTGTAAGCATGTCATTGCACTGTAAGCATGTCATTGCGCTGTGCACCCTCCATTGTCCCCTTGCCTCTGTTTCCATTCCCTTCGCATCTGTGAAATCATTATAAGTTTCAACTTCAATTCTCCTTCCCTCCATTTCATCCTTCTCCTCCCACAGCAACATCAGAGGGTGCAGCCTCGTCGCCTCCCTGCCCAAGGCTCTCTTCGCATTGTCCCATCTCAAGGATCTGTGAGACTCCTTCTGTTTCACTCTCCCTTCCCCATGGCCCTCGCTCGTTCCATCCCCCACTTCCCCCACTGACTTGTCTTTGCTTGTACTGACTTGCATGTGACTGACTTGCATGTGTCTGACTTGCATGTGTCTGTCTTGCATGTGTCTGACTTGCATGTGTCTGACTTGCATGTGTCTGACTTGCATGTGTCTGACTTGCATGTGTCTGACTTGCATGTGTCTGACTTGCATGTGTCTGACTTGCATGTGTCTGACTTGCATGTGTCTGACTTGCATGTGTCTGACTTGCATGTTACTGACTTGCATGTGTCTGACTTGCATGTGTCTGACTTGCATGTGTCTGACTTGCATGTGTCTGACTTGCATGTGTCTGACTTGCATGTGTCTGACTTGCATGTTACTGACTTGCATGTGTCTGACTTGCATGTGTCTGACTTGCATGTGTCTGACTTGCATGTTACTGACTTGCATGTCACTGACTTGCATTTGATTGGCTAAACACTGCTTGCCCTATCTCGCCTGCCTTCTCTTCTATTCTATCATATTATCTCGCCCACATCACCCTCTCTTGTGCGTCTCCTCCTGTTTCCATCCGTTTTTCTACGATTCTGCCCCTACCCCCTATGTACATCCTTTCCGCTTAACCGTATTATGGCCATACACCATATTTGTGCGTGCTGCCTGCCTGCAGTGATTTCGAGTTTTGCAGTCAACTCCCTCGCTCGCTCCCCGATCTCCCAGGAAACAATTCCTCTCCCATGAGCCTGTCAGTACAATATTACCTCCCATGCACCTCTCTCTTCTCGAATGCACCTCTCTCTTCTCGAATGCACCTCTCTCTTCTCGAATGCACCTCTCTCTTCTCGAATGCACCTCTCTCTTCTCGAATGCACCTCTCTCTTCTCGAATGCACCTCTCTCTTCTCGCGTGCACCTCTCTCTTCTCGCGTGCACCTCTCTCTTCTCGCGTGCACCTCTCTCTTCTCCCATGCACCTCACTCTTCTCGCGTGCACCTCTCTCTTCTCGCGTGCACCTCTCTCTTCTCGAATGCACCTCTCTCTTCTCGAGTGCACCTCTCTCTTCTCGAATGCACCTCTCTCTTCTCGAATGCACCTCTCTCTTCTCGAATGCACCTCTCTCTTCTCGCGTGCACATCCAACCGCATGCCTACTGCCACCCCCCTTCTCGAGTGAATCAGATCCATTGCCTATTTCACAACAGCAGCAGCCCCACACCTGCTGCCTGCGTGCCCCCTCCTGCTCTCTCTTCTCTCCCCTGTACTGCTCCACTGACACTCCTCTCCTATCCCCCATTGCTTCAGCTGCTCTGCTCTGCTGTCCTCTGGCCCCAATCGCCTCTTCTCCCCTTTCTCCCCGACCTGCCGTCTCCCCTCCCTGCCATTCCCCCTCCCTGCCATTTCCCCTCCCTGCCGTCTTCCCTTCTCTCCCCCATTCCTGCCTGCCACGGCCCATCAATGCAGCAGCACCGCCTCTCACGTCAATCTCAAAGCTTCCGTTCCGCAAGAGCTGGGAAATCTGCAGCAGCTCACCCGCCTGTCAGTGCGCTTGAGGAGGGGGGGGGGGGGGGGGGGGGATGTAGTAGCAGGTGGGAGGGGAGTGAGTGGGTGGGTGGGTGGTGCGAATTGCAGGGTGAGGTGAGAGGGTGGGTGAGTGGGTGAGGGGGTAAGTGAATGATTGAAGAGAGAGAATGAGTGCAGGTGGTGGAGCAAGGTGAGGCTTACAGCGTTGTTCCTCACACCCCTTAGACGTGGTCTCGATACGGTCAGCGGCTTTCTACAGAGGGAGATTTCTTGTCAGGCCCTACCGGTTATGGCCCTGCTGGAGTGGGTCATGTTGAATTCCTACGTGGAGTTCAATGGCAACATCTACCGCCAGATTCAAGGAACTGCCATGGGAACCCCCGTGGCAGTTTGCTTTGCGGTACTTTTCATGAGCCGACTGGATGAGGTGCTGAAGCAGAGGTGGACCGGGACGCAGCCGCTTCGCCATGTCAGATACATCGACGATGGGTTCATCGTCTGGACAGGGACCAGAGATGAGCTGGAACGCTACTTCAACGTGTTCAACAGCCTTGACCCGAACATTAAACTGACGTGGCACGTCTCGGAGCAGTCAGTGGACTTCCTCGACATGGTCCTTCACAAAGGGGACCGGTTCACTGCCAGCGGTACCTTGGACTTCCGAACCTATCAGAAGCCAATGAATAGGTACCTCTACCTCCCGTTCTCGTCGTACCACCCACGTCACTGCAAGGTCGGATTCATCCAAGCTGAACTGAAGCGGTATCTACTCCGTTCATCCTCAGCTTCGGCCTTCCTCGCAACGAAGCATGATTTCTTCCGCAGGCTTCGTGCACGTGGTTACCCTCCGGATTTCCTTCGCCCCATCTTCGGAACTGTCGTCTTTCTTCAACGCGGTGCACTTCTCGAGCAGACCTCGGCGCGACACTTACTCAAGCAGCAAGATTCGACTCCAACACGCGGGCCCCTAGTTTTGAAGACGGTTTTCACACCTTTGACTGCCCGTCTCAAGCTGGGGGTACTTTTGAGGCTCCTCAAAAGTCGTCTCATTACCCGCAAATTTTATACTGATCGAATTTTTTTTGCTTGGAAGTGTGCACAAAATGTGCAACAGCGCCTAGTTCGCGCGAGGTTACCACCACCCAATTCCAAGACTGCCGAAGACAGACCCGAGGAGTGACTGGACACTTTGGAGTTTTCTTTCGTGTCTAGTTGGCACTTTTCTTATCTAGTTTTGTGCCCAGGGTAGGATTTCCTTGAGTAGATCTCGAGGCTTGGGTGTTCTTTTAGACCCCTCGCTTGCTTGCTCTTTCATTTAGAACTCTTGCACTGATGAAGGCCTAGCGGGTATGATCCCCGTGCGAAGCCGAAACATGTTTGCCTAAGTCAGAGTTTTGAACAGAGCTGTGCTTTCGGTTCCTACTCTAGTTTTTTACAGGGTTATTTTTTCTCAACAAGTGACTATCGTTCTTTGCTAAGACGATCCCTCACGCTGCAGCTCTTCTTCATGACCAGTGACCCATGTGGGAAATCTGGGAAATCTGCAGCAGCTCACCCGCCTGTCAGTGCGCTTGAGGAGGGGGGGGGGGGGGGGGGGGGGGGGGGGGATGTAGTAGCAGGTGGGAGGGGAGTGAGTGGGTGGGTGGGTGGTGCGAATTGCAGGGTGAGGTGAGAGGGTGGGTGAGTGGGTGAGGGGGTAAGTGAATGATTGAAGAGAGAGAATGAGTGCAGGTGGTGGAGCAAGGTGAGGCTTACAGCGTTGTTCCTCTGTAGAAAGCCGCTGACCGTATCGACTCCCCATGTCCATCTAGCCCCTCACACCCCATCTGGCCCCTCACATCACACCCCATCTAGCCCCTCACACCTTATCTGGCCCCTCTCACCCCATCTGGCCCCTCACACCCCATCTGGCCCCTCACACCCCATCTGGCCCCTCACACCCCATCTGGCCCCTCACACCCCATCTGGCCCCTCACACCCCATCTGGCCCCTCACACCCCATCTGGCCCCTCTCACCCCATCTGGCCCCTCACACCCCATCTGGCCCCTCACACCCCATCTGGCCCCTCACACCCCATCTGGCCCCTCACACCCCATCTGGCCCCTCACACCCCATCTGGCCCCTCACACCCCATCTGGCCCCTCACACCCCATCTGGCCCCTCACACCCCATCTGGCCCCTCACACCCCATCTGGCCCCTCACACCCCATCTGTGTGCTCCCACCTGCATCGCCTACTGCTCCCCACTCCATTGCATCTCCTGCCACTCGTTTCTTTCCTTCAGCGCTGGTCAACCTTCCTCTCTCCCTGCACCATCCTCCGATAATGCTAAACACTCCACCTGCATGGTGCATGCGTGGTGCATGGGTGGCTCATGCGTGGTACATGCGTGGTGTATGGGTGGTGCATGCGTGGTGCACGCATGGTGAATGCAGGAGTTTGTCGAGCAACCATCTACCGGAGTCACTACCAGAGCAGCTCTCCCAGCTGCAGAAGCTGCAGTCTCTGTAAGGCCGGGTGAGGGGCATGTGATGGCATGTGATGGCATGTGATGGCATGTGATGGCATGTGATGGCATGTGATGGCATGTGATGGCATGGGATGGCATGGGATGGCATGTGATGGCATGGGATGGCATGTGATGGCATGTGATGGCATGTCATGGCATGGGATGGCTGGCATGTGATGGCATGTCATGGCATGTGATGGCATGTGATGGCATGTCATTGCATGGGATGGCATGTGATGGCATGTGATGGCATGGGATGGCATGTGATGGCATGTGATGGCATGTGATGGCATGTGATGGCATGTGATGGCATGGGATGGCATGTGATGGCATGTGATGGCATGTGATGGCATGGAATGGCATGTGATGGCATGTGATGGCATGTGATGGCATGTCATGGCATGGGATGGCTGGCATGTGATGGCATGTCATGGCATGTGATGGCATGTGATGGCATGTCATTGCATGGGATGGCATGTGATGGCATGTGATGGCATGGGATGGCATGTGATGGCATGGGATGGCATGTGATGGCATGTGATGGCATGTGATGGCATGGGATGGCATGGGATGGCATGTGATGGCGTGTGATGGCATGGAATGGCATGTGATGGCATGTGATGGCATGTGATGGCATGGGATGGCATGGGATGGCATGTGATGGCATGGGATGGCATGGGATGGCATGGGATGGCATGGGATGGCATGTGATGGCATGGGATGGCATGGAATGGCATGTGATGGCATGTGATGGCATGTGATGGCATGGGATGGCATGTGATGGCATGGGATGGCATGGGTGTTGCGATATATATTTTATATATGTTTATAACTGCCTGTAGCTTTAGCTTTAGTGTAGTTATGCCTTCTTGTTGTTGGTGGTGCACCGTTGCTATTTTGCTATATGTACCTTGTGTTCTATAGTGAAACCATCATTCTCGATTATCTCCTTGGTACAACCACCTCGACACCCCTTGGCCTAGGCTACTAAGCCTAGGCCCTTAGTTAAACCCGTACTCTAGTTAAGATCGTATCGTAACATGGTATTGAGCTAGGTCGTTCCCGACCTAATTTCCTAAGGGCCCACCGTTAGCTTTCGCGATGGCGTGTCCCGTCAAGCAGCAAATCGCGGCTCCGTCCGTCCCTCCCCGTCGCTCGCCCGTAGCAAAATCCGTCAAGGCAGTCGTGACAGACGCAACGGTCGCGGCGGGAGTGACGACACTCGTCGACCCGCTGTTTCGTGCAGTCGCTCTCGCCCCCGTCGACCCCGTGCACTACCCGCTACTGCAGCCCGCCACCCGCGAAATTTCCGCTGCTGCAGCCCGTCGCCCGTCCCGTCGCGCTGCCGCCCGTCACCAGATTCCCGCCACCCGTCCGCACACCGTCACCCGTCGCCCTGCTTCCCGTCGCCCCAACCGCACCTTATCCCGCCGTCGCTCTGCCCATCGCATTACCCCCACCCCCTGCCCGTCACCACCCCCCGTCGTGCTTGTTCGCATGTGCAGCGGCGGTCGCTGTGGGGAGGGTGAGGGAAGAAGGGCAGGGAGTGGCGGCCGAACGCTGTGGGGGAGAGGGAAGCAGGGGAAGGGCATGGCGGGACAGCCAGCAGCTACAACGCTAGCAACAACCGCCACCAGAGACTTCGCCAGCAGAGACCCCGCCAGCAGCGCCACCGCCAGCAGAGACCTCCGTCCCGCCCAGCGCGCATCACCTGCCATTGGACCCGCCAGCCGCCAGCACCAGCACCAGCTCCAGGGCCAGCCGCCAGCACCAGGCACCAACACCAGGGCCAGCCGCCAGCACCAGCACCAGCTCCAGGGCCAGCCGCCAGCACCAGGCACCAACACCAGGGCCAGCCGCCAGCACCAGCACTAGCACCAGGGCCAGCCGCCAGCACCAGGACCAGCACCAGGGCCAGCCGCCAGTACCAGCACCAGCTCCAGGGCCAGCCGCCAGCACCAGGACCAGCACCAGGGCCAGCCGCCAGCACCAGCACCAGCACCAGGGCCAGACGCCAGCACCAGCACCAGCACCAGCTCCAGGGCCAGCCGCCAGCACCAGCACCAGCTCCAGGGCCAGCCGCCAGCACCAGCACCAGCTCCAGGGCCAGCCGCCAGCACCAGCACCAGCACCAGCTCCAGGGCCAGCCGCCAGCACCAGCACCAGCTCCAGGGCCAGCCACCAGCACCAGCACCAGCTCCAAGGCCACACCAGCATCAGCACCAGCTCCAGGGCCAGCCGCCAGCACCAGGAACCAGCCCCAGCGCCAGCCGCCAGCACCAGGAACCAGCCCCAGCGCCAGCCGCCAGCACCAGGAACCAGCCCCAGCGCCAGCCGCCAGCACCAGGAACCAGCCCCAGCGCCAGCCGCCAGCACCAGGAACCAGCCCCAGCGCCAGCCGCCAGCACCAGGAACCAGCCCCAGCGCCAGCCGCCAGCACCAGGAACAAGCCCCAGCGCCTGCCGCCAGCACCAGGAACCAGCCCCAGCGCCAGCCGCCAGCTCCAGGAACCAGCCCCAGCGCCAGCCGCCAGCACCAGGAACCAGCCCCAGCGCCAGCCGCCAGTACCAGGAACCAGCCCCAGCGCCAGCCGCCAGCACCAGGAACAAGCCCCAGCGCCTGCCGCCAGTACCAGGAACCAGCACCAGCGCAGCCGCCAGCACCAGAGGGGTTGAGTGGCGGGTAAGGGGGTGGAAGAAGTAAGTCGGGCATTTGCAGCCGTTGCCTGTAGCAGGCACGCCCCCGGAGGTGCTGGGCGGTGCTGTCCACCTGCTCGTTGCAGCCACAGCGCCTGCTCTCACGCCCACCTGCCGGGTCCTGCACCTGTTGCTGCTGCATCTGCCGTGGCTGAGGTCACTGTGGCTCTATCTGCCATCACTGCATCTGCTGCCTGTAGCAGGCACGCCCCCGGAGGTGCTGAGCCGCGCTGTCCAGCTGCTCGTTGTAGCCACGGCGCTTGCTCTCACGCCCACCTCTCGGGTCCTGCACTTGCCGTTGTTGCATTTAACATGGTTGATCTGTGTTGCTGTTTCCCCTGCTTCTTCTACCTCTTGCCCAGGTTCCGGGGGTGTGACTTGCTATAGTTATGTGCTGCAGGCAGTTAAGGGGGTGTGTTGCGATATATATTTTATATATGTTTATAACTGCCTGTAGCTTTAGCGTTAGTGTAGTTATGCCTTCTTGTTGTTGGTGGTGCACCGTTGCTATTTTGCTATATGTACCTTGTGTTCTATAGTGAAACCATCATTCTCGATTATCTCCTTGGTACAACCACCTCGACACCCCTTGGCCTAGGCTACTAAGCCTAGGCCCTTAGTTAAACCCGTACTCTAGTTAAGATCGTATCGTAACAATGGGATGGCATGGGATGGCATGGGATGGCATGTGATGGCATGGGATGGCATGGAATGGCATGTGATGGCATGGGATGGCATGTGATGGCATGGGATGGCATGTGATGGCATGGGATGGCATGGGATGGCATGTGATGGCATGGGATGGCATGGGATGGCATGTGATGGCATGGGATGGCATGTGATGGCATGTGATGGCATGTGATGGCATGGGATGGCATGTGATGGCATGGGATGGCATGTGATGGCATGTGATGGAACCCGGATGCTCTAAGCCATCCTCCCTTGTTTTCCCATGCTCCCTCGCTTCGTCTGTTCTCGTCGGGTTTGACATCACCCCTTCCCGGCAACTTCCCTGCTCCGTGATTTTCCCTGCTCCATGCTCCTCCCTGCTCCGTGCTCTTCCCTGCTCCCTGCCTCTTGACTGCTACTTGCCTCTTGACTGCTACTTGCCTCTTGACTGCTACTTGCCTCTTGACTGCTACTTGCCTCTTGACTGCTACTTGCCTCTTGACTGCTCCTCGCCTCTTGACTGCTACTTGCCTCGTGACTGCTACTTGCCTCTTGACTGCTACTTGCCTCTTGACTGCTTCTTGCCTCTTGACTGCTACTTGCCTCTTGACTGCTACTTGCCTCTTGACTGCTACTTGCCTCTTGACTGCTACTTGCCTCTTGACTGCTACTTGCCTCTTGACTGCTACTTGCCTCTTGACTGCTCCTTGCCTCTTGACTGCTACTTGCCTCTTGACTGCTACTTGCCTCTTGACTGCTACTTGCCTCTTGACTGCTACTTGCCTCTTGACTGCTACTTGCCTCTTGACTGCTACTTGCCTCTTGACTGCTACTTGCCTCTTGACTGCTACTTGCCTCTTGACTGCTACTTGCCTCTTGACTGCTACTTGCCTCTTGACTGCTACTTGCCTCTTGACTGCTACTTGCCTCTTGACTGCTCGCATCATCAGGGAGTTGTCGTGGAATCATCGCCTGTCCGGGGAGCTGCCTGCGTGGATCTTCAGCCTCACAGACTTGACTTCACTGTGCTGCCATGCACCATCTGCCATGCACCATCTGCCATGCACCATCTGCCATGCACCATCTGCCATGCACCATCTGCCATGCACCATCTGCCATGCACCAACCTCTCTTCCATCCCACAGCACCTTGGCATGCCTTTATCTGCAACCCATCCAATGATTCCTCTCCCCTCTCTACACTTCCCGCCTGTTTCCGCCCAACCCTCTGCGTCCACCAGGGATATCAAGGGCAACAAATTTTCAGGCTCCATTCCAGAGGCAATCAGCAACCTCAAGCACTTAAGGGAGTTGTGAGTGGTGGTGGGGTAGGCATGCAAGGTGATGTGGGATGATCAGGTGTGGTAGATCAGTGAGTGCCTTGTGGGAATGAGTGGGTGAATGTCTGAGAGTGAGTGAGTGAGAGAATGAGAGAGAGAATGAGTGCAAAATGATGGTTCTGCCCTGCATGTTGAATATGGTCCAACCAACTGACCTTGACCTGGTCGGCCATGTGTGTACTTTGTTTTTTAGGCGCCTCAAAACGAGGCGCCTCAAAATTAGCTCCAACCGACTGACCTTGACCTGGTCGGTCATGTGTGCAGTTGCTGACGTAGGTTGCTTTGGATAAAGTTGCTCCACAAGTGCATTCTGAATCCTGCGAGCCGTTGTTGCCCGATGCCCCAAGTCACCTTATCGGGTCAACCGGACTGGAAAGCATTGCAAGCCGTGAGTCTTGAGGAGGAGAGCGCTCGTACTTTTGCTAGCCCGCTCCGTTCCAATCCAACGTCTCTTATGCCTTCAAAAAGGGATTCAAACGCGACGGCGCAATTTTTCCTCTAAGACTTCTCCTCTCCAGTGCCATGGTAACCTCTCTTGACTCTAGTACCTAGTTCCTCAGTTGCACCAGACCAACAGCACTGGCACGCGCTCTCTCACATACTCTAGGAGCTTCATTCCCATCCTGTGCCATCCCTTGCCATCCCATGCCACGCCATCACGCAACAGGAATTTTCAAGGCAGCCGCAGCCTGAGTGGCACCATTCCCGCGTGCCTCGGCAACCTCACCGGACTCACCGTATTGTGCGCCCATTTTCGCTCCTCGCTAACCTTCCCTTTTCTCTCATATGAGCATAATCTGCCAAAGCAAATGGAGCTCTGCACTGCTCTGCCCCCATGCATCGTCCACTTCAGCTTTCCACCTTCCAATCTCTCCTTGCGTCTAGTCATAGTTTTACACCCCGCCTTTCACCACCAATGCCTAATCTTCCCCCCTATAAATAGAAAATAATGAAATCTTACTATTGCTCTGATGGCACGTCCGCCGCAAAGCAGTAAGATGCCCAGTGTTTACAGAAGGGCAGCTCTGAGTTTGTCACTGTTAGTCAACTGAATATATATGTATATATATATGTATATATGAACTAGTTCTGAGAGTGAGAGAGAGAGTGCGTTTGACTATAATTAGGACCGAGAGTTGGTTGGATGGGTTGAGATAGGCGAGAAGGTAGGGCTTTGTGGACTGTGAGAGGCGAGAGGGGAAGCTGTCTGGGCTGGGAGAGGTGTAATCGGAAGGACGTGTGAGTTTCAAGCGGCGAGGAGGACATGGGTATGCCGCAAGTGGCGAGAGGAGGAGTTGGTTGAGATGGGCGATGGGAGGGACAGGGGAGGTTTTGGCTGTGAGATGTGAGAGGAAAAGGGGAAGGCTTGGGCTGTGAGAGCGAATGGAAATGGAGGGAGGCGTGGGGATGAGAGTGTGTGGTTGGGTTGAAGGTTGTTCAACTTGATAAGAAGTAGAGTCAGTCACACTCAATTTAGGGTTAAAATATTATGCACTCATTACCATTAGATTGATTTGAAATATTTAATCAATCAGACTTGACTAATCGAGAATTCTAAAAAGCCACGATTGGAGGATTAATAGTCTGAAACTTCAAACTCTTACATCAATAAAATCAGCCCCTCTCCCCATCCTTTTCCTTTCCGCCCTCCCCCCAACCTCTCCATGCCCCAGACATCTTCGCCTATGCGGACTTTCAGGCTCCATTCCAGAGGCAATCAGCAGCCTCAAGCAGCTGGTGGAGTTGTGAGTGGTGATGGGGTAGGCAGGCATGCAAGGTGCTGTGGGATGGAGTGGAGTGGAGTGGGGTGGAGTGGAGTGGAGTGGAGTGGAGTGGAGTGGAGGGTTTCAATAGGTCCTGCTGACGGGGTAAACGGGTGGGGGAAAGTAAGAGGCTGAGACAGGGGATGGGTGGAACCATCTGGAAAGGAGCTTGAGCTAGATCGGTAGAGTAGAGTAGGTTTACCGGGTTGGAGTTGAGAAGTGAAGTGGGGTGGAGCACGAGAGTCGAAGCTCTTCTAGGTAGATCACAGATGAGTTGGGAAGGCAATCCGATGACATTATACAATGAGATCAGTTGAAACCTTCACTTGGTGGGTTGAAGGTTTCAAAATTTACAGTTCAATCTCGTTTGGGTGAGGTTGGGATCTTGGGCTAGCACCCAGCCCACGGAAACAGAAACCGCACTAGATCAAAATGTGAAAAGCACCAGTGCAAACTGTGCGATGGTTGTCTTTTCTTACAGGGGGGTCAGCGAGGAGAGGGTGGAACTGTGAGTGAGATGATGGGTTGCGTGAGTGAGCAAGGAATTCAAGGAATCCAAGGTGAATGAGTGAGTGCAGGATTCGGATTCCAGCACCAGTCTCTTTATCCGTGTTTCTTCTATCCATTACTTTGTTTCCACGGTGAGCTACTGCGCATACTGCCGCTCATGGTGTAGCTTGTTTGTGCCATCCCATCCCATCCCATCCCATCCCATCCCATCCCATCCCATCCCATCCCATCCCATCCCATCCCATCCCATCCCATCCCATCCCATCCCATCCCATCCCATCCCATCCCATCCCATCCCATCCCATCCCATCCCATCCCATCACATCACACCACACCACACCACATCACATCACATCACATCACATCACATCACATCACATCACATCACATCACATCACATCACATCACATCACATCACATCACATCACATCACATCACATCACATCACATCACATCACATCACACCACACCACATCACATCACATCACATCACATCACATCACATGCCATGGCAGGGAGCTCCAGTCCAACAGCCTGAGTGGCACCATTCCCGCCTCCATTGGCCACCTCACCGAACTTCACATCCTGTGCGCCCATCCTTACGTCACCTTAACCTTCCCTACTCTCCGTTGACAGAAAGTTTTGAAGAGTACAAGAATTCCAGTCAGCTGTAAAGTCCCTACCTTCCCCCCCCTCCCCCATGCTCTCCATGCACCAGGAAACTCAACGGCAACAGTTTCTCAGGCTCCATTCCGGGAACAATCAGCAGCCTCATTCAGTTGTGGGAGTTGTGAGTGGTTATGGGGAAGGCATGCAGGGTGCTGTGGGATGTTCAGGCATGTTATTATTGAGTGAGTAAATGGGTGGGAGAGTGAGAGGCCGAGAGTTAGCCTTTAATCTCGACTTTGTATTTGTGCGTATATATATGTGTTATATTATATACTTTAATCCAATCTAGGTGTAGTTTTCCTGGGTTGGGTGTTAGATTAACATCCCAACCTTACCCAGGTGTAACAAAATCTCTGGGTACGTTTCTGGCTCGTGTCAAGCTTCGGGCCGTCCCAGGAAGACTCGAAGCTTTGGGTTAAACTTCCGGTCAACCTTTGTGTCTTCCGAAAACAGGGGCAGTTTTTTGCCGAAAGACCCGAAGTTGGTTTTAGATGACCCAAAGTGGACCCAACTTCCGGTGATCTCATTAGGGATTGCCTCTGATTCCCTGCCGATCCGTTCTTGTTCGTGTTTTTTATGATGTGCTTAAGAGCCTTGAGCTCATCACGAAATGTATTCACTCTAACTCCAGTTCTTACATGCGATGAAGGAAGTGAAATAGGTGAGTGAGTGCCCTGTGAGTTATTGCCCTAGCCGTCCATCCCACACCATCTCATCCCATCCGATCCCATCCCATCCCATCCCATCCCATCCCATCCCATCCCATCCCATCCCATTCCACCCCATGGCAGGGACCTCCGAAGCAACAACCTGAATGGCACCATTCCCGCCTCAATTGGCCACCTCACAGGACTGACCTTCCTGTGCGCCTGTTCTCCCTCCAACCCCCCCTCTCCATTCCTTCTTTCCACCTCGCTCTCTCTGCCAAGCATGGGGGGTTTGAGAGGGTGGGTACGATGAGATGAGAGGAGGCACGTTGTGTGGATGGCGATTCCGCCTGCTAGTGTGGAGTGGATGTGTTTTTCTCAGAGCAAACTCCTTTCAGCTACAGCACTCACACCCTTCCACGGCGTCATCGCTGCCTTCTTCTCCTCTCCTTGTCTCTTCTCCTTCTACCTTCTTCTTCTCTCCTCTATACTCTCCCTCCCCTCCTCTCTCTTATCCTCTCCACCTCCCTCCTCTTCCCCTCTTCCCCTTTGTTTCTTTCCTTCTCTCCATGTCCCATCATCCACCCCTCTCCAGAGGACTTGGCAACAATCGCCTTACAGGGACGGTGCCTGCTGCATTCACCACGCTCACTAAACTCGAATACCTGTCAGTGTTCCCTCCTCATTCATCACTACAGTCAGAATGTCATCTCTGAGTGGTGGTGTGTACACCCCATGCACTCGTCTCCAAACAAGAGCCAGTGCCACCCATCTCTCTGTGTAGCTCTTCTTCTCTGTGTAACAGCATCCCTACAGCCTGCACCTTCAATGGTGCCAACCGCATCACCTCGTTTTCTGCCACCCAGCCGTTCCTTCCTTTATCCTTGCTCGGGGTTGCACCTTCAAGTGTGCCAACCTCATCAGCCTTTTTCAATGAATGCCATCCACGCGCTTCCTCCCATGCTCGCTCAGCCATGACACCACTTACTCTCCACTTCCCTCTTGTGTCAACGCATATTTCCCATAGATCCATCTTACTCATTCATTGATGATTTCGAATAATTTCCTGTGAAACGCCCTTTCTATCCGAATCCATTGTGTCTATGCCCAACCAGTGATGATAGAGGAATCAAAGCCTAAGCCCGTCACGGGGTTTCACCCAGTGTTGACCAGAAGCAGTGTTTACAACACGGAAAGTGGAATCGACGGCTCAAAAGTCCATCTCACACAGTTTAGACAGAGAAACCCATCCCGTTCATTCTTCTGCGCCACCAGGTTGCACCCAGTGTTGACAGCTTACGCACATGCTACTCCTTTCCCATCACTCCCTTTTCCGTTTCACTCCCTCTCTCACGTCACTCTCGTTCTCCACCACTCCTCTTCCTTCCCAATCTTCTCCTCCCGCCTTTGCTTGGCATCGCAGCGACTTTCCAGGGAGCTACAGCGACCTCACAGCCACCGGTGGAGACGAACCTTTACAACAGCGCAGCTTGTGTATGTTCCTTTTCAACCATACGCCCCTCCAAAGCTGCATCTTGTCTTTCTTGTGCTTTCTTCTTCGGTTCTTTATCACTTGATCAGGTAATTCTTTCTGCATATTGTCCCTCCTGTCCTCCAAAGCCTCCTTGATGCCTGCTTGCTCTCCACCAGTACCCAGCACTCCTTCACCCATATGCTGCTTCTTTACATGCATCGCCTCCTCCCTCCCACCCTCCCTCCCTCTCCTCATCCACCGTGCATCCACCAACCCACCATGTGAACCACCAGACACTGCAGTGGTGGAGGAGGCACTCTCCGTTCTCCAGGCACCTCCAAACCTGCTGCTGCTGCAGCTGCTTCCACTGGCAGTGCTGCTGCAGCTGGCGTTGGCGTTGTCACTGGCCATTCTAAGGCGCCTCAAGAATCGACCCCCCACACGCTACTTCTTTTCAAAGAGAGCCCTTGCTGCCCGACAAGCTGCCATGGGTGTAGAGATCACTTGAAGACATGCACCTTCAATTTTTGTATCGGCATGATATCATAAGTACGGTATTGTTGTACATTCGATATTTATGCTCCATTGTGTTTGTTTATTGTATAACATAACATAAAGCATGGCTTCCTCCGTCCATATACCGATCCCAACATTGCATGTCCCAGAACTTACTTTCAACGTTCGCGCTTGATGCTGTTTTCCTAGGTATGATAAGTTGCGTAACTCTATTAATTCTTCACACATTATGCAAATACATTTTCCGTAAAGACCCTCACCCACATAGCTAATTTGGCCTAATGGACTAACATGTTGAAGTGTTACGAAATACAGACACAATCCTATGTCTGGCGTTTCACTGTAACGCGTTAACCTCTGCACCATACACACCAACTACCACACTGGTCAGCCCCAGTCTTCAAATTCCTCAGGACTTGGATTCAAAGAACGCCGACGATAGTGTGCGGTTCGGAGCTGTTTGCACATATCCAGAACGGTTCGGGCTAGGTGAACAAGCCATTACCTTGCGCGAGCTGTTCCAAGCTTGTTATTCTCCCACACCCTCCTCACACTCCCCATTGACTGCGTGTTTGAGACGAAGGCAATGACGAGAATTATTTGCTCAATATCAGTATTTCGCTCTACCAGTCGCCTCGCCTTGCGGTTGAATCAGTGAACGAGATTTACAATCTTGCAGTCACAGTTGATCCTATCAACGCGCACTCGCGGCAACGGCTCACGAGCACGCCAACAGCAACGAAGCTCCACCGTACGGCTCACGCGCGTTTGGGCAAAGCGTGCCGCGTTCAGGGCCGCGTTCGGGCAGGCGTGCGTGCAGGGCGTTCGGGCAAAGTCCGACACGTTCGCTGGCGGGGGTGTTCGGGCGTCGGCACGAGCACACGGCGGGCAGCGCGCGCGGAGAGCATCGATGGGGCCGCGTTGCGCCGCGGCGACGGGGAGGCGCGGCGACGTGCTGATGGCGGCGAGAGCGGCGGTGGTGGCGCTGGTGGTGGCGCGCTGCTGCATGCCCCTCGCACGCGCTGCTCCCGTGGTGGACGCCGAGAGTATGCGTGATGCACGTTATTGATTCCCTCCACATCCTCCTTTTGACAGCCAGAGGTCCCTGGCAGTAAACAGCCGTGCCATGTGCCATACCGCCCCATGACCGTAACCCTATTCAGCATGTCATAACATGAAGTCCGTTCCGGCAACTAACCATCACTGCTGTAAAGGGAGTCCCTTTACCCTCTCTCTGGTCCTCTCACCTCTTCCCTGGAAATAACCCCAACACGTTCTGTGGCACGGCATGCTGCATTGCCGGGGTTGTACGGCATGGATGAGTGGCATGATTGGATGACAGTTGAAGCTTTGGAGAATCTGGCACAAGAATGGAACGAGGTCCATGGTAGGGACACATGGATGAAGGGCAAGGATTGCGACAACATGGATTCCGTGGAGTGTGATGGTGATGGGCATGTCATTGCACTGTAAGCATGTCATTGCACTGTAAGCATGTCATTGCACTGTAAGCATGTCATTGCACTGTAAGCATGTCATTTCACTGTATACCATGCATTCCTTGCGTCTGATTCCAACTACTTCTCATCTGTGAAATCATCTGTTGATTTGACTTCAGTTTACCGTCCTTTCATGGCATCCTTCTCTTCACCCACAACACACACACCACACCACAGCTCCATTTACTCGTGCACCCTCGTCGGCACCCTGCCCTCTGCTCTCCTCGCATTGCCATATCTCAAGCAGCTGTGAGACTTGTGCTCTCGCACTCTCCCTCCCCCACTGGCCCTCAGTCGTTTCTTCACCCTCTTGCCCCCACTCACTTGCCCTTGCTTGTAATGACTTCTTGCTCCTTGTGCTGACTTGCATTTGATTTTCTAAACACGCCTGGTCCTGCCTTGCCTATTTCAACTCTTTCCCCTTACCCCTATTATCTCCTCCCATCCGCCCTTGTTTCTACTGCCCTTCCACCATCTTTGCGTGTTGCCTGCAGTGATTTGACATTTTGCAATCAAATCCCTCGCTCGCTGCTTGATTCCAGAGAGGAATTGTCTTCTCCCATAGACATGTCAGTTCCATTTATTCTCCCATGCACCTCTCTCTTCTCCCATGCACCTCTCTCGTCTCCCATGCACTTCCCTTCTTTGCGCACCTCCCTCATTTTCCTGCGCATATGTCAGTTCCACCATCCACGTATTCTCGCATGCACATCTCTTTTCTCATGGTCCACCTACCTAGGTCCACCTACCTAGGTCCACCTACCTAGGTCCACCTACCTAGGTCCACCTTCCTAGGTCCACCTTCCTAGGTCCACCTTCCTAGGTCCACCTTCCTAGGTCCACCTACCTAGGTCCACCTACCTAGGTCCACCTACCTAGGTCCACCTACCTAGGTCCACCTACCTAGGTCCACCTACCTAGGTCCACCTACCTAGGTCCACCTACCTAGGTCCACCTACCTAGGTCCACCTACCTAGGTCCACCTACCTAGGTCCACCTACCTAGGTCCACCTACCTAGGTCCACCTACCTAGGTCCACCTCCCTAGGTCCACCTACCTAGGTCCACCTACCTAGGTCCACCTTCCTAGGTCCACCTACCTAGGTCCACCTACCTAGGTCCACCTACCTAGGTCCACCTACCTAGGTCCACCTACCTAGGTCCACCTACCTAGGTCCACCTACCTAGGTCCACCTACCTAGGTCCACCTACCTAGGTCCACCTACCTAGGTCCACCTACCTAGGTCCACCTACCTAGGTCCACCTACCTAGGTCCACCTACCTAGGTCCACCTACCTAGGTCCACCTACCTAGGTCCACCTACCTAGGTCCACCTACCTAGGTCCACCTACCTAGGTCCACCTACCTAGGTCCACCTACCTAGGTCCACCTACCTAGGTCCACCTACCTAGGTCCACCTACCTAGGTCCACCTACCTAGGTCCACCTACCTAGGTCCACCTACCTAGGTCCACCTACCTAGGTCCACCTACCTAGGTCCACCTACCTAGGTCCACCTACCTAGGTCCACCTACCTAGGTCCACCTACCTAGGTCCACCTACCTAGGTCCACCTACCTAGGTCCACCTACCTAGGTCCACCTACCTAGGTCCACCTACCTAGGTCCACCTACCTAGGTCCACCTACCTAGGTCCACCTACCTAGGTCCACCTACCTAGGTCCACCTACCTAGGTCCACCTTCCTAGGTCCACCTTCCTAGGTCCACCTACCTAGGTCCACCTACCTAGGTCCACCTACCTAGGTCCACCTACCTAGGTCCACCTACCTAGGTCCACCTACCTAGGTCCACCTACCTAGGTCCACCTACCTAGGTCCACCTACCTAGGTCCACCTACCTAGGTCCACCTACCTAGCTCCACCTACCTAGCTCCACCTACCTAGGTCCACCTACCTAGGTCCACCTACCTAGGTCCACCTACCTAGGTCCACCTACCTAGGTCCACCTACCTAGGTCCACCTACCTAGGTCCACCTACCTAGGTCCACCTACCTAGGTCCACCTACCTAGGTCCACCTACCTAGGTCCACCTACCTAGGTCCACCTACCTAGGTCCACCTTCCTAGGTCCACCTTCCTAGGTCCACCTACCTAGGTCCACCTACCTAGGTCCACCTACCTAGGTCCACCTACCTAGGTCCACCTACCTAGGTCCACCTACCTAGGTCCACCTACCTAGGTCCACCTACCTAGGTCCACCTTCCTAGGTCCACCTTCCTAGGTCCACCTACCTAGGTCCACCTACCTAGGTCCACCTACCTAGGTCCACCTACCTAGGTCCACCTACCTAGGTCCACCTACCTAGGTCCACCTTCCTAGGTCCACCTACCTAGGTCCACCTACCTAGGTCCACCTACCTAGGTCCACCTACCTAGGTCCACCTACCTAGGTCCACCTACCTAGGTCCACCTACCTAGGTCCACCTACCTAGGTCCACCTACCTAGGTCCACCTACCTAGGTCCACCTACCTAGGTCCACCTACCTAGGTCCACCTACCTAGGTCCACCTACCTAGGTCCACCTACCTAGGTCCACCTACCTAGGTCCACCTACCTAGGTCCACCTTCCTAGGTCCACCTTCCTAGGTCCACCTTCCTAGGTCCACCTTCCTAGGTCCACCTTCCTAGGTCCACCTACCTAGGTCCACCTACCTAGGTCCACCTACCTAGGTCCACCTACCTAGGTCCACCTACCTAGGTCCACCTTCCTAGGTCCACCTACCTAGGTCCACCTACCTAGGTCCACCTACCTAGGTCCACCTACCTAGGTCCACCTACCTAGGTCCACCTACCTAGGTCCACCTACCTAGGTCCACCTACCTAGGTCCACCTACCTAGGTCCACCTACCTAGGTCCACCTACCTAGGTCCACCTACCTAGGTCCACCTACCTAGGTCCACCTTCCTAGGTCCACCTACCTAGGTCCACCTACCTAGGTCCACCTACCTAGGTCCACCTACCTAGGTCCACCTACCTAGGTCCACCTACCTAGGTCCACCTACCTAGGTCCACCTACCTAGGTCCACCTACCTAGGTCCACCTACCTAGGTCCACCTACCTAGGTCCACCTACCTAGGTCCACCTTCCTAGGTCCACCTTCCTAGGTCCACCTTCCTAGGTCCACCTTCCTAGGTCCACCTACCTAGGTCCACCTACCTAGGTCCACCTACCTAGGTCCACCTACCTAGGTCCACCTACCTAGGTCCACCTACCTAGGTCCACCTACCTAGGTCCACCTACCTAGGTCCACCTACCTAGGTCCACCTACCTAGGTCCACCTACCTAGGTCCACCTACCTAGGTCCACCTACCTAGGTCCACCTACCTAGGTCCACCTACCTAGGTCCACCTACCTAGGTCCACCTACCTAGGTCCACCTACCTAGGTCCACCTACCTAGGTCCACCTACCTAGGTCCACCTACCTAGGTCCACCTTCCTAGGTCCACCTTCCTAGGTCCACCTACCTAGGTCCACCTACCTAGGTCCACCTACCTAGGTCCACCTACCTAGGTCCACCTACCTAGGTCCACCTACCTAGGTCCACCTACCTAGGTCCACCTACCTAGGTCCACCTACCTAGGTCCACCTACCTAGGTCCACCTACCTAGGTCCACCTTCCTAGGTCCACCTTCCTAGGTCCACCTTCCTAGGTCCACCTTCCTAGGTCCACCTACCTAGGTCCACCTACCTAGGTCCACCTACCTAGGTCCACCTACCTAGGTCCACCTACCTAGGTCCACCTACCTAGGTCCACCTACCTAGGTCCACCTACCTAGGTCCACCTACCTAGGTCCACCTACCTAGGTCCACCTACCTAGGTCCACCTACCTAGGTCCACCTCCCTAGGTCCACCTCCCTAGGTCCACCTCCCTAGGTCCACCTCCCTAGGTCCACCTACCTAGGTCCACCTTCCTAGGTCCACCTTCCTAGGTCCACCTACCTAGGTCCACCTACCTAGGTCCACCTACCTAGGTCCACCTACCTAGGTCCACCTACCTAGGTCCACCTACCTAGGTCCACCTCCCTAGGTCCACCTACCTAGGTCCACCTCCCTAGGTCCACCTACCTAGGTCCACCTTCCTAGGTCCACCTTCCTAGGTCCACCTACCTAGGTCCACCTACCTAGGTCCACCTACCTGCACGCTCCTCCTGCTCTCTTTGGGACAGACAGCAACAGCCCCACACCTGCTGCCTGCATGTGCGCGCCCAACTGCATGCCTACCGCCCGCCCCTTTTAGTGTGAATTGAATCGCCTCCACCCCAGCAACAGCCCCACACCTGCTGCCTGCACGCTCCTTCCACTCTCCCTTTTCTCCCCTCCACTCCCCCTTTTCTCCCCTCCACTTTGCTCCTGACAATCCTCTCCTATCTCCCACCGCTTCATCTGCTCTGCTGCCCTCCTCCCTCTTTGACCTTCTCCCCCTCTTCTCTGCTCCCTGCCTGCTGCCGCTGTGCCATCTCTTCGCCGTGCGTGCTGTCGCCGTCCTCCCTCTTTGCCCTCTTCCCCCTCTTCTCCCCTCCCTTCCTACGTTCTCCCCGTTGGCGTGCTGTCGCCCCAACCATGCACCAGCGACGACCCTGCCCTGTACACGAGCGATCTCAAAGCCTCCGCTCTGCAGGGGCTGGCCAATCTGCATCAGCTCACTTACCTGTGAGTGCGCTGGCAGGACGAATGCAGGTGGGGATTGTTGTTCAGATCCTCGAAAACAACCTCCAATTAGAAAAAAAAAAACAGCAGCTCATTTACCACTGATTGTGCTAGCGGGAGTGATGTGGGCAGGTGGGAATTCAATGAGTGGGTATGTGAATTCCAGCGCGAGGGGGTGAGTGCATGGTGGAGGTGGGAGAGTGAGAGTAAGGGATGCAGCAAGATGGCGCTAACATTGGTTACTCCAGCTGACGCTGTGTCATACATTTTATGGCCCCTAACTTGCACGCCAACTTATGAACAGCCTCTGGTCAACCCTCCCTCTTCGCTTCAGTGCATACTGATGTTGCGAAACCCTTAATGTGCATGGTGCATGGATGGTGCATGCATGGTGCATGGATGGTGCATGGATGGTGCATGGATGGTGCATGCATGGTGCATGGATGGTGCATGGATGGTGCATGCATGGTGCATGGATGGTGCATGCATGGTGCATGGATGGTGCATGGATGGTGCATGGATGGTGCATGGATGGTGCATGGATGGTGCATGGATGGTGCATGGATGGTGCATGGATGGTGCATGGATGGTGATTGATGGTGCATGCATGGTGCATGCACGGTGTATGCAGGAGTTTGATGGGAAACATTCCAGTCGTATCACTACCAGAGCAGCTCTCCCAGCTGCAGAAGCTGCAGTCTCTGTAAGGCCGGGTGAGGGGCATGTGATGGCATGGGATGGCATGGGATGGCATATCGTGGCATGTGATAGAACCCGGATGCTCTAAGCTATGCTGCCTCCTTGTGCCATGCTCCCTCGCTTCTGTTGTTCTCCTCGCTCTTCATGTTCACCTTGCCCATCCTCGGGTTTGACATCTCCCCTTCCCAGCAATTTCCCTGCTCTGTGCTCTTCCCTTCCCTGCCCCTTGCTCTTCTCTGCTCCTTGCTCCTCCCTGCTCCGTGCTCTTTCCTGCTCCTCGCCTCTTGACTGCTCCTTGCCTTCTGCTCCGTGCCTCTCGACTGCACGCATCGTAAGACGCTTGGATGCTCAGCGTCGCCTGTCTGGGGAGCTGCCTGCGTGGATCTTCAGCCTCACAGACTTGACTTCACTGTGCGTGCTGCCATGCACCATCTGCCATGCCATGCACCAATCACCACCCTACATCACTTCCCATGCACATCGTACCCTTATGACCGTTTTCTTTATCTCAACTTCCTTTCCAACACTCTCAGTATACTCCAGAGTACCATACTGGTTCGCTTGAGGATGCTTTGATACCAGAGATTGCATTTTGCATAACACGACTCTGCACTGCTTCCTCTCCATTCTTGCACTGCATTTGATCTCCCCTCTTCCATTTTACCTCTCTTCCCCGTACCTTCTCTTCCGACCTTCCCCATCCAATGATTCCTCTTCCCTCTACGCTTCCCCCCTGTTTCCGCCCAACCCTCTCCATCCACCAGGGATATCAAGGGCAACAACTTCTCATGCTCCATTCCAGAGGCAATCAGCAGCCTCAAGCAGTTGCGGAAGCTGTGAGTGGTGGTGGGTTAGGCATGCAAGGTGCTGTGGGGTGATCAGGTGTGATAGATCAATGAGTGCTTTTGAGTAATTGAGAGAATGAGAGAGAGAATGAGGCCATGTGCTGTCATCAGCAAAAGTGCACAAAGCACTGCAGACACATGCACTGCCATGCTTTATCAACCTTCCCACACCCAACCTCCACCGCTCCCCTCCGCCTCTCCTCTCTGTGCTTCACCCCCCTTTGCCTCCTCGCCTCCATGCTGCTCCAAAGAAAACACTATAACCCCACTGGATCCCTCTGTGCCACACGTCACCGCACTGTGCCGCACATGATCGCAGACGCATCACGGAGCCAACGCTGTCAGGGTCCATCCCCGAGTCGATAGGAGCGCTCACCAACCTGCAAGATCTGTAAGGAAGAGGAATACCCGCATTGCAAGCCGTGACACGACACTGGTACTTGGCGTTTGCTCTAGTCCTTTCCAAAAAGCCTCTTGTGTCTTTGCATGCAATGGCTCTTGTATTTGCCCTTTCTAACTTCCCTTAAGCCGTGAGGATGACTACGCTGGTACTTTCTCCTCTCCAGCCCTTTTCCAATGTCTCTTATGCTTTTAGAAACGATTCTAAAAGCGATGGCACGGCACACAATCTTCTCTTCTCGGTTGGGCAAACGATTTTCAGTTTCCCAACAAGTTTACTAGTGCAAAAGATGTTAACGCATAGAATCTTCGAATCTCAGTTTGCTTGCATCAAACCCAACCCAACCGAACTCCTCGCCTCAAATATCTACATTTGCCTCAAACATCTTCCACTTCACATCACGCTTGTGCTTTCTGTAGTTTCTTCCTTGCTTGTGTTTGTGCAACGTTTTGTTTCTTGTTTGCTTTTATATACACGTATTATCTGGCTTGTGGGACCCTCCAGTGCCGCTGGTCACTTCTCTTGACTCTAGTACTACTCAGTGCTCTAAGAACCCTAGACCAGCAGCACTGGCATGCGCTCTTACACATACCATGGGTGCTTCGTTCCCATCCTGTGCCATTTCGTGCCATCCCATGCCATGACATCACGTGACAGGGACTTGGAAGGCTGCGGCAGCCTGGATGGCACCATTCCCGCCTCCATTGGCAACCTCACCGCACTCACCTCCCTGTGAGCCCATTTTCTCTCTGCATGAACCTTCCCTTCTCTCTAATATCTGCAAAGTCTGCCAATGAAAAGTAACCCTGCACTGCCCCCATGCATGGTGCATCCTCTCCGCTGCAGCCTTCCACCTTCCAACCGCTCCCTGCGGCTTAGTCATGATTATCCTTTCTGTCTTTAACCTACAATGCCCCCTCTTTCCCTTTCTACGCTACCCCCAACCATGGAGCATGGCGTCTGATCTATTTGATTTAGAAGCAAAAAAAACTGTAAGAAAGAACCTCCAATGGCACGTCAGCCACACAGCAGCAAGCTTGAGAGAAAAAGAGGTGCTCAGAGTTAACAAAAAGCAGCTTTGAGCTGTCAGGGATAGTAAAATGAAATATATGTATACACATATATATATATATGCATATATAGAGATGCTTATACGAATTGAGATAAATAGTGTGAGTGTTGCTACAAGGGCCAAGGGGTGTGGGGCGCAAGTGGCAAAAAGGGAGCAGGTTTGAGATGCCATAGGTGAGACGTTACTTTAGACTGGGTGGAAGGGGAGTTGGTTGGATGGGTTGCTGCGAGAGGTGAGAAGGGGGGCTTTGTGGGCATTGTGAGAGGCAAGGAGGAGCTGGGTGGGGCTTGCGAGTGGCGAGAATAGGAGTTGTGTACGATATAAGTGGCGAGAGGAGGAGTTGGTTGAGAAGGGCGAGGGGGAGGGGGAGGACTGGGGAGAGTTCAGCTGTGAGATTTGAGAGAAAAAGGGGAAGGGTTGGGCTGTGAGAGTGGATGGAATTGGAGGGTGGGGTGGGGAATAGAGTCTGGGGTTGGGTTGTCGGTTGGTCAATTTGATGGAAAGGTGATTCAGTCCACTCAAAATCAGGCTTCAACTTGTATGCACTCTAAATCCATCAGACTTCACTAATCAGGAATTCTAAAAAGCCATGGTTGGAGGCCGATCACAGACTAATCGGACTGAATACCCTGAAATATTCAACCCTACTCTCCACCTTGTCCTTTCCGCCCTCTTCCCAACCTCTCCATGCCCCAGGAGTCTTCGTGAATGCTTTCTCTCAGGCTCCATTCCAGAGGCAATCAGCAGCCTCGGGCAGCTACAAAACTTGTGAGTGGTGATGCAAGGTGCTGTAGAGTGGAGTGGAGTGGAGTAGAGTGATTCAATGTGATAGCCCGCTAGGCTCGTGCTGAGGGAGTAAACGGGTGGGGGAAAGTAAGAGGCTGAGACAGGGGATGGGTGGAACCATCTGGAAAGGAGCTTGAGCTAGATAGGATCGAGTAGAGTAGGTTTACCGGGTTGGAGTCTGAATTGAAGTAGGCTGTGGAGCTCAAGGCTCGAGGCTTTCAGCTTGAGATAGAGTTTGTTTACCAATTCTTGGGCTCCAGACTCATCTAGGTAGATCGCATATGAGTTGGGAAGGATGGTACAGGATTGGAATTTGATGACACTATGCAATAAGGTTGGTTGAAACCTCTGATTGGTTGGTTGAGTTGAGTTGAGTGCGTAAACAAGGGACCCCGGGGGCAAATGAGTGGATTATTGAGTGAGGGAGCGAGTGGAATAAACTTTGTCGGAGACTCAAAGGCTAGTTTGATTCAAGAATCTTGACACCGGCGGTCTCTTGATCGTTGATCCATCTCTTGTTTCCATCCAGTACCTTGAATGCTCCACAGCCACCACATCTATTGTAAGCACCTGAGCCTACTGTACCTTGTGCCATGCCATCCCATGCCATCCCACCCACACCCATGCCATGGCAGGGACCTCCAAAACAGCATGCTGAATGGCACCATTCCCGCCGGCATTGGCCACCTCACCGCGCTTTACACCCTGTGCGTGCGCCCATCTTTCCTTCGCCCTAAGCGTCCCCTCTCTGCGTTGCATTGCCACCAGGAATCTATCGTAAGAGCACAGACAAGCTGTCTATTCCATTCAGAGAAAGTACCCCCCCCCCCCCCCCCCCCCCCCCCACTCATCATGCCACAGAAACCTTAAATACAACTTTCTCTCAGGCTCCATTCCAGAGGCAATCAGCAACCTCAAGCAGCTGGGGGAGTTGTGAGTGGTGATGGGGTAGGCATGCAAGGTGCCGTGGGGTGATCAGGCGTGGTAGCCCTTCAGTGGGTGAGCAGGAAGGAGAGTGAAAGGCCGAGGGGAAATAGAGTGGGAGAGAGTGTGAGTATGAGGGGGTGAGAGGGTGAGCTATGAGTTATTTCCCTGGCCGTCCATCCCACCCCATCCCATCCCATCCCACCCCATCCCATCCCATCCCACCCCATCCCATCCCATCCCATCCCATCCCATCCCATCTCATCCCATCCCATCCCATCCCATCCCATCCCATCCCATCCCATCCCATCCCATGCCATCCCATCCCATGCCATCCCATCCCATGCCATGCCATCCCATCCCATCCCATCCCATCCCATGCCATCCCATCCCATGCCATCCCATGCCATGCCATGGCAGGGAGCTGAAGGACAACAGCCTGAGTGGCACCATTCCCGCCTGCATTACCCACCTCACCGCACTCATCACCCTGTACGCCCATTCTCCCTCCACTCTCTTCCTCTCCATGCCTTTTTTCCACCTGCCTCTCTCTGCCAAGCATGGGGAATTTGAGAGTGTGGGTGGGATGAGAATCGGGATTGGGGGAATGGTGGGAGAAGAAGGCAATGAATAGGAGAGTACTCACCTTTCACTAACAGCACTCACACGCTTCCACAGAGGCATCTCTGCCTTCTCCTTTCATCCTCACTTCTCCTTTTCTACTTTTCTCCTTCTCTCTTCCCTCTTCTCTTCTACTCCTATTTTCTTCTTTTCCTCCTCTCCTCCTCTCTTTCATGCTCTCCTCCTTTCTATTCTTCTCCTCTCCACCTCTCTCTTCTAATCTTCTGCTGCTTCTCCACTTCTCCCCATACCCTACACTTCTCTCCGTCCCTCCATGACCCATCATTCACCCGTCTTCAGTAGTCTTGACAACAACCGCCTTGCAGGGTCGATACCTGCTGCAATCACCACGCTCACCAATCTTGTATACCTGTCAGTCAGTGTTACCTCTTAAGTTGTCACCACACTCAAAACGTCATCTCTGTGTGTCGATGTAAGCAATTACGTCGTTTTAAACATGTCAGGGTTACCTGCTGAGTCGACTTGAAAGACATGCTTTGCCAGGTCACCTCTTGTAAAGGGTTTTCAGAAGCAACCATCTGCAGTCAATTGTCACCCTGTGCACTTATCTCATCTCCAACAACTGTCAGCGTTACCCATCTCTTCTCCTCTCAATGAAACGCCACCCACACATCTCTTACTTTCTGCAACCTACACGTTCCTTCCATGCCATCCCATGCCATCCCATGCCATCCCATGCCATCCCATGCCATTCCATTCCATGCCATCCCATTCCATCCCGTGCCATTCCATTCCATGCCATCCCATGCCATCCCATGCCATCCCATGCCATTCCATTCCATGCCATCCCATGCCATCCAATGCCATCCCATGCCATCCCATGCCATTCCATGCCATCCCATGCCATCCCATGCCATCCCATGCCATCCCATGCCATCCCATGCCATCCCATGCCATCCCATCCCATCCCATGCCATCCCATCCAATCCCATCCCATCCCACCCATCCCATCCCATCCCATCCCATCCCATCCCATCCCATCCCATCCCATCCCATCCCATCCCATCCCATCCCATCCCATCCCATCCCATCCCATCCCATCCCACCCATCCCATCCCATCCCATCCCATCCCATCCCATCCCATCCCATCCCATCCCATCCCATCCCATCCCATCCCATCCCATCCCATCCCATCCCATCCCATCCCATCCCATCCCATCCCATCCAATCCCATCCCATCCCATCCCATCCCATCACATCCAATCCCATCCCATCCCACCCATCCCATCCCATCCCATCCCATCCCATCCCATCCCATCCCATCCCATCCCATCCCATCCCATCCCATCCCATCCCATCCCATCACATCCAATCCCATCCCATCCCATCCCACCCATCCCATCCCATCCCATCCCATCCCATCCCACCCATCCCATCCCACCCATCCCATCCCGTCCCATCCCATCCCATCCCATCCCATCCCATCCCATCCCATCCCATCCCATGGCATGGCATGGCATGGCATGGCATGGCATGGCATGGCATGGCATGGCATGGCATGGCATGGCAGGGACTTACGGAGCAACAATCTGAGTGGCACCATTCCCGCCTCCATTGCCCACCTCCAAGGACTCGGCTTCCTGTGCGCCTGTTCTCCCTCCAACCCGCCCTCTCCATTCCTTCTTTCCACCTTGCTCTCTCTGCCAAGCATTGGGGGTTTGAGAGGGTGGGTAAGATGAGATGAGAGGAGGCACGTTGTGTGGATGGCTAACCTTCCTGCTGGTGTGGGTGTGTTTTTCTCAGAGGAGACTCCTTTCAGCTACAGCAGTCACACTCTTCCACAGCGTCATCTCTGCCTTCTTCTCCTCTCCTCGTCGCTTCTCCTTCTACCTTCTTCACTCTCTACTCTCCCTCTCCTCCTCTCTCTTATCCTCTCCAACTCTCTCTTCTTCTCCTTCCCTCCTCTGCCTCTTCTCCTCTTCCCCTCTTCCCTTCTGTTTCTTTCCTTCTCTCCATGTCCCATCATCCACCCCTCTCCAGTGGACTTGGCGACAATCGCCTTACAGGGGCGATACCTGCTGCAATCACCACGCTCACTAATCTTCAATACCTGTCAGTGTTTCCCTCCTCGTTCGTCACTACACACATGTCATCTCTGAGGGGTGTTGTGTACACCCCATGCACTCGTCTCCAAACAAGAGCCAGTGCTACCCATAACTCTTTGTGGCTCTTCTTCTCTGTGGCTCTTTGTGGCTCTTCTTCTCTGTGGCTCTTTGTGGCTCTTCTTCTCTGTGGCTCTTTGTGGCTCTTCTTCTCTGTGGCTCTTTGTGGCTCTTCTTCTCTGTGGCTCTTTGTGGCTCTTCTTCTCTGTGGCTCTTTGTGGCTCTTCTTCTCTGTGGCTCTTTGTGGCTCTTCTTCTCTGTGGCTCTTTGTGGCTCTTCTTCTCTGTGGCTCTTTGTGGCTCTTCTTCTCTGTGGCTCTTTGTGGCTCTTCTTCTCTGTGGCTCTTTGTGGCTCTTCTTCTCTGTGGAACAGCTTCCCTACTGTCCGCATCACCTCGTTTTCTGCTACCCAGCCTCTTCTTGCTGGGGCCCGCACCTTCAGGGGTGCCAACCTCGTCAGCCTTTTGCAATGAATGCCCTCCACGCGCTTCCTCCCATGCTCGCTCCGCCGTGACACCACTCACTCTCCACTTCCCTCTTGTGTCAACACCTTTTCTGTAGATCCACCTTACTCATTGATTAATGATTTGGAATCACTTTCTGCTAAGCGCCCTTTCTAACCATTCTGTCTATGCCTAACAAGTGATGATAGACGAATCAAAGCCTAAGCACGTCAGCTGATTGCACCCAGTGTTGACAACACGGAAAGTGGAATCGACGGCTCAAAAGTCCCTCTCACACAGCGTTGACAGAAACAACCATCCCATACGCACATGCTACTCCTTTCCCATCACTCCATCTTTCCATTCACTCCCTCTTTCCCATCACTCCCATTCCCCGCCACTACCTTCTCCCCTCCCGCCTTTGCTTTGGCATCACAGCAACTTAGAGGGCAACCAGTTGACGGGAGCGTTGCCCTCGTTCGACCATACGGACCCTTTGGATTCGTTTATTGGGGACCCTTTCAACGACAGCAACAACAACAACAACAACGACCTCACTGCCTCGGAAAGCCTTCTCCCTCTCAACACTACCAGCCTTGACGGAACTCTACAGCAGGACAGCTTGTGTATGTTCCTTTTCGACCATCAGCTCGTTCGAGCTACCTAAGAACTTGCATTTCATGTCCTCCAAAGTCGCCTGCTTTCCAATATGCCGGCTTTCTCTGTATCAATACCCAGCAATCTTTCTCCAATGTGCTGCTTCTGTACATAACCTCGCTTCCTCCCTCTCCTCATCCACCATACAGGCACCAACCCACCCTGTGAATCACCAGGCCCTGCAGTCATGGGAGTGGCGCTGTCTGTTCTTCAGGCACCTCAAAACCTGCTGCTGCTGCTGATGCTTCCACTGGCGGTGCTGCTGCTGCTGGCCTTCACACTGCCGCAGTTTATGAGGCGCCTTAAGAATCGGCCCCACACACGCTACTTCTTTTCAAAGAGAGCCCTTGCTGCCCGGCAAGCTGCCATGGGTGTGGAGATTAATTGCTAGTGACCCACTGGCGTGATATCATGAAAACGGTAGCGTTGTTCTTAAATTGTATACTAGATGACATGCTCTACTATGGTTGTTTACGAGCGTAACATAACATAACAGAAAGCGTGGCTGCCTCCATACATCGATCCCACGATGCAATGATCACACACAACCAACTGCTCGTAGCTATTGATACTTGTTGCAATCCTAAAAGGGACTTAGCCCAGGATCGGCTCAGGGTTCAGGCCCTACGATATCAGGAATTTCTCCCTGAAATTCCTGATTTTCAGGGATTTTTTGTACCTACACTGATTTTTCAGTGTTGAGAATTTTGTGACACTGATTTTTCAGCCTTTATTTCATAGTTGACACTGATTTTTCAGTCTTTTATCGAAGTGTACACTGAATGCACATTCCGAATCCTTCCTGTCAACCAACATTTTCAGGTTTTTCACGTACGAGAACGTAAGAGATTGACAGATTAGAGGATCAACTGTCTCAGTGGTTAGCGATATTCTACCGACGGGAAAGGGCCCTTTCCCTTGTATACAAGGTTTTCATTTGCTTGAAAATTCAGGCATTGTTTTTTAGGAACCCTGAAAATTCAGGGTTTTTTTTTTAGGAACACTGAAAATCAGGGTTTTGTTCACAGGGACCCTGATGCATCAACGTCCCTTAAAGTGAATCTGAGGGCCTGTCAGGGTTGATCGCAGGTGCTATTGCAGCGGTAGTGACCAGGGCCCTAGATATCAGACTTAGGAGTCTGATTCAGAGTCCGTTCAGACTTTTTTTTTGTACCTAGTCTGAAGAATTTTTCTATACACCCTGTCTGATTTTTCAGAGTTTTTTTAACTGACTTGTCTGAAATTTCAGAGTAGTCATAGTAGTTTAGGGTGAGCCCCAGACTTGTATCGGGGGTCCACTCTGAAACCAGTTGTACAGGGGTTTCCGCCAGCCTGAATGAAAGCTTATCGGAACGAAACTTCCTCGAAACTTTTTTCCGATACACCCACGTGTGTACGGGCCAGCACTAACGATTTCCTGCGGATAAAACTGCTCAAGTAGGGGCACCAGAATACACTACTTTGTCGACGCGATCTCGAGTGTCGAGTTCATTGGAGGCTTATAATAATCCTTATATTGTGAAACTAGATAGCCAATCGCACATGGCCAAAACGATTTTAGCGAATCGCACATGGCGAAAAGCGAATTGGTGCAGACGAAAGCCTTCTCACATATGAGTCTCGTACTTCAGCAGAACCGCACATCATTTCCCCTTGCCAAACCGAGTCAAAATTTCGAACCTACAACTTTGGGAGAAAATATTCGTACACAGTTGAAAACTCTTGCTGCTGCCAGCGCGCCCAGCACAGAAAAGTGCCGAGCGATACCGTGCCTGCTGCCAGGTCAGCTGATTGTGAGCTTGCCACACTTGGCACTTGCACGAGGCCATTGTCTGATGCCCACACCTCGACCTTGACTGCTCAGTGTTCCGAACTCTTGAAAAATAACCAATCAGAGTGCCCCATTTCTGGCCGCACAATTGCGTTGGTATGCTGTAATCAGCTTCAATGCTATTATAGCTATGCTGTTATGAAACTGCATGAACATCTTAAAATTTGAAGTAACTCTGAGAGTTCAGACAAAAAAAGTTGTGCTTGTCTGAATTTCCAGACTAAAAAAAATAGGTAACTCTGACAGCCAGACTAGGAAGAGGGGTGTACTCTGAGGCGTCAGACTACCTCAAAACGAATCTAGGGGCCTGGTAGTGACCTCAGGTCAGTGTGAAATGGAAAATGACTGAAGTTTAGCAAAGACATACATTGGTTTATATAGGAAATAGAAGGATTACGAAAAGCTTTTGCTACCCATGTACTCTAAGGGTACATTCCCTTATTCCAACAAGGTTTATAAACAGTGCGGCGAGCGAACCCGTTCCAAACCTGTTCCCTCCAATTCCACTTCAAATGTTTATGCCTGCAACAGCAGGGCCTCAGAAGTCAACGAAAAAAGGCTGATTTGGGTTAAAAAGGCTGAGATTTCAGACCTTTTTTTAGAACTGTGGCTGATTATTCAGCATTTTTCTGTGAAAAAACAGGAAAAATTATGTGATTTGTAGTGTAAACTGGCATATACCGTATACTCCCGGACAAAACACCCCCCCATAATTGTACACCCCCGGGTAGCTTGTGCGGGGTGGGTGTTATGATAGACCTCGTTTCTACTATACCCCCCTTTTTGGCTGATTTTCTATAACACCCCCCTTTTCTTACGGATTCATTATTATAGTCATTAACGAGTAGCTGCAATACGGAAGAATATCATGTGAATTTCTCCCTCAATGAATTTTCGCGGTACATTCAAAGGCAATCTGCCGAGATTTGCCCCCTCCCACTATTTCTCTGTCGCCACGTGCAGGTGAATCAGGCCCTACGATATCAGGAATTTCTCCCTGAAATTCCTGATTTTCAGGGATTTTTTTGTACCTACACTGATTTTTCAGTGTTGAGAATTTTGTGACACTGATTTTTCAGCCTTTATTTCATAGTTGATACTGATTTTTCAGTCTTTTATCGAAGTGTACACTGAATGCACATTCCGAATCCTTCCTGTCAACCAACATTTTCAGGTTTTTCACGTACGGCAACGTAAGAGATTGACAGATTAGAGGATCAACTGTCTCAGTGGTTAGCGATTTTCTACCGACGGGTAAGGGCCCGGTTCGAATCCCTCCGCTGTCATGTTTTGTAAAGCCTCCCCTTATATATAAGGTTTTCATTTGCTTGAAAATTCAGGCATTGTTTTTTAGGAACCCTGAAAATTCAGGGTTTTTTTTTTAGGAACACTGAAAATCAGGGTTTTGTTCACAGGGACCCTGATGCATCAACGTCCCTTAAAGTGAATCTGAGGGCCTGAGGTGAATCTTCCGTTGCAAGTGGCAAGAGAGGTGCCACATGCCATTTTCGTGGGGGCGATGAAGTTCGAGGCCGAAACTCACATTCGCGCCTCAGGCAGTGATGCTAAAACGACCAGCAAAACACCCACATTGACTTATTAAAAAAACACTAACACTAAAATATGCCATATGTAAAGACCCGGGTATTATGTATTTTTTTCCTATGAGGAGACCCCCCCCATTTTTTCCCTGTATTTTTAGCTATACCCTAGGGTGTTATGTCCGGGAGAATACGGTAATGGCAGATTTTTCTGTTTTTTAGCATAATTTTGTGTACCAACTCTGATTGGTTCAGCCTAGCTCAAAACCAATCTGAGGCCCTGTGTAACAGTCTTGATATGACGGTTGGTGATGTCGCTTTGACTCTTCTGACTCCTCGACTTCTTACTCGGTAGAGTTGGCTCCCGGAGCATACATGAATGCCTTCTCATTAAAGTTCATATCTCAACACCCCCCTTCACTCTTGGACGTGTTGGAGGCTGACTCGCTTGACTACTCTGATGGGGTTGGAGCAGTTCTGGTACCGGATATAAGCGCATGCCTATGTTAAGCGCATTCGCTTCTATCTAGAGCAATACGCTTATGGCGCCGATCCTCATTTATAACACACCCGTTTCACTTTATTATTATATATAATTTACTTAAGGACAAGACACTAAAGCCCCTCCACTGTTATTTGTGAGAATAAGAACGAGGAATGAATTGACTAGGAATGAGAAAGGTACAAGTATGAAACCCTAGAAAAGATGTACCCCCTATTGGTTACCCCATTACAGCCTACACAGGCTATATCATGTTGTCAAATTATATGCCTATGTCATAATACAATGTAGGCTTTAGTGGGGTAGCTAATGTAGGGTATAGTTCTTTGTTACTTGTACCCAACTTTCTCGATAGTGCACCACCTTTTCCCTTTACTCTCGACATGGTATTAAGAGCAACATAGGTCCTTAGGACCGTTTTAGGATTGTTTTTCAGGGCCCACCAACCGTTTTCCGCCGGTTACCGAGTTACCCCGCCCCTTGCCTACACTGCCCTGCGTTGCGCAGCCCTCGCGCTCACCTCTGCTGGCCCTCGTACAGCCCGCTAGCAGCCCGTCTGCTGCCTCGTCAGCCCCGCGCGTAACCCGCTAGCTGCCTTGTCAGGCCCGCGCACCGCCCCGCAGCCCCCGCGCTGCCTTCTTCTGCCCCGCGCGTCGCTTCGCAGCCCTCGCGCTGCTTTCTATGGCCGCCGACGCGGCCTCGCCCTGCCGCTGTCGCGACCCCACCCTGCCGCCGACGCAGCCCCGCCTGGCCTGCGCGCTGCCCCCCGTCGCCAGTCGCGGCGCCTGTGGGACCCGCGCGCTGCCCTGCACCAGCTACGCCGCCCCTGGTGCAGCCGCCCCTGGCCTCTGAAGCAGCTGCCCCTGGTGCAGCCGCCCCTGGACCCTCGAGCAGCCGCCCCTGGACCCAGAGCAGCCGCCCCTGGCCCCTGAAGCAGCCGCCCCTGGTGCAGCCGCCACTGGACCCTCGAGCAGCCGCCCCTGGACCCAGAGCAGCCGCCCCTGGCCCCTGAAGCAGCCGCCCCTGGTGCAGCCGCCCCTGGATCCCGCGACGCCGCCCCTGGACCCGCGACGCCGCCCCTGGACCCCGTGCAGC